GGGTTTCCTAGGAAAAGTCAATTGAACTTTGACCAGGCATAACTTTCACATACTTCATCCATTTTTCCCCAACCAAAGCTCATTTTAATAGAATACAATTCCCTACAACTTATCTATTATCGTCAAGTTCAAGAAATGCACCATTTGAAAGATATAAGCTCGTACATTACAGGTCATTTTCAGAAAGTCAACTAAAGACACTTTTTATCAAGACCTTTTACATCAAGATAAAATCTTAAAATGTAAAATTTATCAAATTAGGGATTGAAGTAGACATCTTGGGCTTTCCAAAAAGTCTAAGATCATCATCATTGGATAAAAATTGAGCAAGTTATGGATTGCACAAGTTGGGAAATTTTCAAAGCAAATGCATGAAATCTAAATTGAGCAAATTTGTGATTTTAAGTTATTAGGCCTAACTTTTTGGAGTTCAAATATGTTCATGATGTGCCCAAGGACCTCTAAATCTATCCATTCATTTTTTTTTTGAATTTTTATTCATTTAAATATGAATTAAATCAAATAAAATACAAAGAATGATGAGCCATGACATTTGGGCTTGATTTGATCTATTAGAAGTCCCATATTTTCGTGCAACATACATCCAAAGGGACTAGGTTCATGCAAGTGACCAAAGAGACAAAGATATTACAAATATGGACATTTTTAAATGTGTTTTATCCTTATCTCCAAGGCCATGAATGCATTGATTCTTTACCATGATTATTCACTCCTATTTTCCCTCTATAAATACATAATAATACAAGCCAAGAGGAGCACGAAATTTCTTTTCAAAAAGCTCTCCAAAAGCCTTCTCAAAATTCTCTAAAAAAATGAAAAAGTTGCAGAACCTGTAACTTCACTTCCAGGCGCTATCAACCCAAACCAAAATCATCAAACCTCTCCTGAGTTTCCCAGGAGTCCTCTAGAGCCCAGCTTCAAGCCTTACACGTCCCATATCCTCCTCATAACCATCCTACGATTTTTGGTAAAATTTTGAATCCCAAATCCTTTAAATCATGTAATTTAAATCAGTTTTGTGCATGCATTCACATTACTATTGATGTTTTGAGTAGATCTAACGTGTTACACGTGAGCTTAGGTACCTGAATCCAAGAACACCATTCTTAGGGCACTCCTCTTCCAGGTCCTGGGTTCGATCCAGGAAAAGACAATTTTTATTTTTTCTAACCTTTGTTTTACAGATCCCACAGGCGCCTGGGCCCTCTTGTCATTGGGCTTAGGGTTTCTGTTTATTCTCACCCCCTAACTATTTTTGCAGCGCCTGGGCCCTCTTGTCGATAGGCCCGATACTTCTTTGAAGCGTACCCCCCATTTTATTTTGTTTGCAGGCCCATTTCAATTTTCTTTATTTTATTTTAATTAACATTTCTGTTTTAATCAATTTTATTTCATTAAACATTAAAATAAAAAAATCATAAAAATACTAGGTTAGTATTTTTTTAATTAAATTAACTTGGTAAATTAATTAAATAATAACTTTAACCTTTTATTTAATTTAAAAATAAATAGACCTAGGATTTAATTCATTTAATTTCTTTTATTCATAACAAAAATACAAAAAACTTATAATTAATTTCTTTTTAAATTTCAATTTTATTTAATAATTAACAGTTTTTTTCTTTAGATCTAGATTATTTAATTAATTATCAATTAAACATTTTCTTACATAAAACAAAAACAAACAAAAAGATTTCCTTTCACTTAGGTTTTAGACGTCTTTTCCATTTCGCACGCGTTATTTACTTTCGCACTTTTTTTCATACTAATGTATTCACTTATGGGATGTAATAGACTATAATTAGGACTTGTTACTTTACTGTTTTTTTTATTTTCCCTCAAGTTTTGGACATGTAAATAATCCCCTCCCCGAAGCCTTGTAATAGCTAGGATTTACAATTCCAGCACTTTTAATGTATGCAAATTATTAGCTGTTTAGATGCATGCTAGCTAGGATTGTATGGCAATAATAAAACAAAACGCTAGCAAAACTAACGCAAGACAAATAACTGAATACAAGCACAATTGCACATGCGCACCTCTAGGGTACCCCCACTTTGGTTGTCTTTGGAAAAACAGTCACATCTCTCGAAACGTGTGAGATTTTAGTGGCTACCCTCCGGTTTAAAGATCATAAGTCCCTCAATGACCCTCTCGACGTTGCCTCGATATGATCTTAAAACCCTAGGGTAGTTACTAAAGTTTCTTGCCCATTTGCCTTTATGACTGTACAAACGTCCCTTCGAATGTCCCTCAAACATCCAACGACTAAGGTTACCTACTCACTAATAGTAGGATAACACTGTCTAAAGGAAAAGAGGAAAAGAACAAGCTTTCGAGTAAAGTAGATAACTATTAGATGCTTGCTCAAACAATTTTTACACTTACACAGAACTTCTTTCAAAAATATTTTCAAACACTTTGTATACGTTTCCTACCATTCCGAGAGACATTACAAAGTTCTCCGCACTAAGGCGCTTTCAAAAATACTTTTCAAAACACACAAAGCACAAAGTATTTCAAAATGAGCTAAGCATCTAAGAGCCCGTAGATAACTACAGATGGAAAGAGTGCTAACACCTTCCCTTTCCATAATCTACCCCCTTACTCAGAAATAATCTCCAAAGGTCTTTTTCTGTTCTTTACGCCCTCTCCTCTGTTGGATAAAAGAAAATTTGGTGGCAACTCTTGCTTACCACAACATTTGCGAATACAAACACAAAACCAGTATAACAGTCAGTTCTGTCATCGCATTACAATGGGTGTCACCAACGAAAAACCCATCTTGTAGGAGTAATAAACATAATGTATAAATTTAAAAACATTATATATAAATACACAATTTTTTATCTTGTATCTCCCTCACTTCAGTTAGGCGGTTGCATTCCTTAGAAATAGGTAAATGGTTGTGTTTTGCTACTGAAACCATATGCTCCATTGCATTAGGACTAGATTCTGCAAAAAAAAAACCCAGAATTCATGCACTCTCCTAATGATTTTTTGGCAAAAGATGGTCAATTCCCACCGTAAAATATATTAAAATAAAAAATAGTTACAAAGAGGCAAAAATTGATAGGGGGACTAAACCAAAACCCCTTAATGAAAAACTCTATAATAGAGAAGTCTAATGGAGTTCCAAGCAAATTCTATTAGGATATCCAGATGAATCACATCCCACCATATAAAGCCATGTACATATAAATCGATGTTATCTAATTTATCCGCACAATTATTTCCCTCCATGCACCATCAATTTCTCAAGGAAAAGGCCAACTCGTATATTGCCAATCATTAGTGGCACCTCCCTTGTCCATTCATATGGCTTTCCCATCTCTTCTTCCATCTCTTAACCAAACACACATTCCTTTAGAAGATAGAGAGGACAAATGTATTTGGAATTCAACTAAGGTTGGCGATCTTATTCTCAAGATGGTCTATGATTACAAAGTCGGTTCTTCTCAAGTTGTGCACCGGGGAAAACTTATTTGGAATACTCACATTCCACCTTTGAGATCTTTACTATTTTAGAGGCTCATCCAAAACAGGTTACCTACTAATGAATGTCTAGCCATAAAGGGTCTACATTTTCCTTTCATATGCACTAACTATTTGTAGTAGTTTGAGACTTCTGAGCATCTTTTTTTCAGGTGTCCCTTTGCAGGTAAAATTTGGAGGAATCTTGCTTCAGTTCTCACTCATGACATCTTATCGTTGGAGGAAATTTTGATTGTATTGAACAAATCTTGGTCTGCCCAATGTAAGGTTATTGTCATATCTTTTATTATCAACACTGTCAATGTTATTTGGTAGGCCAGGAATAATGTCTGACTCAAGGGAGTGAAACTCATTGGAAATTAGCGATTAATTCTATTAACTCTGAGGTTTCCTTCACAGGAAACTTAACTCCCAAAACTTGTTCCAACTTGACTTTGGAATTTAGGATCATGAAAAGCTTCAATGTCAAGCTCCATAATCCTAAGAATTGCGTCACTAGAGAATTCCTTTGACATCCTCCGATCACAAACTGGGTTAAGTGTAATATAGATAGTTCTTCGGCTGGGGTGCCAGGTAATGCATCTTGCGGAGGGATCTTCAAGGACCATAATGCTAAGAAAGTTCTTCTTCTTCTTCTTCAAGAAAATCATATGGTTGAGAGACATGACCGAGGAGATAGAGATCACTTAAAAATAAGCAAAGATACTTATGATAATCAAAATGTCATTTACTTGGCCAATCATCAAGTACATCAAAAAAGGACAAAACACATTGAAATTCTTTTGCACTTCATAAGAGATACGACGAAGTCGAAGAAAATTATGGTTCGAAAGAGAATCTGATGGAAATGCTCACCAAATCAATACCTAGATCAAGGTTCAAGCATTACTTAGCATTATTTGAATTTGATTAATTCTGTTAAAGAGTAATTTAAATTTTGGAGAAGATATACCTACGATTTTAAATTTAAAGTGAAAAATTATAAAATTTAAAATCAATTTAATGAAAACTCTCCTGACTTTATAAAAATTTGTATAATTTTATAATTAGAATTAATTAATATAATCAATTAAAATTGATGTTAGTTTTTACTTTTTATGATCAAAATTTGTATATTTTCTCATTCTAAATTCTATAATGTTTTTGTTTTGGTCTTTCACACCAATTAGAAAACATATTTAATTTTACATGAAAACAAAAAAAAATATTTTTAATTGCAATCAATCTAGATTCTACTTATACATCCATTCAATATCTTTTCTTTTCATTGCTTTTTGTTTTTTACCTCCATCTTTTTGTCTCCCCTTTCACATCTCCCAATAACCAATGAGATTATGAGTTATCCTTCTTTTCTCCAAAACGAATCTGATTTGTTCCTAAACCTCAGCAACCAAAAGATTGTCCTAATATAACACAGCACAACACAACCTCAAACCACAACACACAAACTCATCACTTCCACTTCAACTTGGCTACATCAATCAATGGCCATCAAAGACAAAGAAAAGAAGCTCTTTGTTTCTCCACCAAGAAACTATGCTGCAGAACTCAAATTTCTCCTCACAACATTACTTCTTCTATGCACCATTGCCACTCTCTTTCACTTCATTCCTTCTTCTTTCACTATCTCAGCTTCTGATCTAAGACTTTGCATCTCAAGAATCTCTCAAACCCCTCCATCACCATCACCATCACCACAATCACCACCACAAGCTTCTTCCATTATCCATGAAAAACTTACTACCAATAACACCATCAAACGTTTCTTCAACCCTTATGGCTCAGCAGCCTATAACTTCATCACAATGAGTGCTTATAGAGGAGGACTCAACACTTTTGCTATCATTGGTCTTTCTTCAAAGCCTCTTCATGTTTATGGAAATCCCAGTTATGAATGTGAGTGGATCCCTTACACAAGCACTTCCTCAGAAAAAATCATTACAAATGGTTACAAGATTCTCCCTGACTGGGGCTATGGCCATGTCTACACTGTTGTTGTTGTTAACTGCACTTTCAATGACACAATCAATGGTGACAACAATGGTGGAAAGTTGATGCTTTATGCTTCAACATTAGGTGGGGGTGACAGAAGCTTCAATGTTACTGATAAAATGGAAGTTCTTGTAGAACATCCTAAACTTTTGGATCATACCCTTTATGATTCAAAGCCAAAGTTTGAGTTTTTATACTGTGGATCATCATTGTATGGGAATTTGAATCCACAAAGAGTGAGAGAATGGATAGCTTATCATGTGAGACTATTTGGGCCAAAGTCACATTTTGTGATACATGATGCTGGTGGTGTTCATGAAGAGGTTTTAGAGGTTTTGAAGCCTTGGATTGAACTTGGTTATGTTACATTGCAAGATATTAGAGATGAAGAAAGATTTGATGGATATTATCATAATCAGTTCATGGTTGTGAATGATTGTTTGCATAGATATAAGTTTATGGCCAAGTGGATGTTCTTTTTTGATGTTGATGAGTATATTTATGTTCCTCCAAAGAGTACTATTAAAACTGTGGTAGATTCTCTTTCTCAATATTCTCAGTTCACAATAGAACAGATGGCTATGAGTGGCAAGGTTTGTCTACAAGATGATTATGGAAAAACTTACAGGTATCATTTTGCATTACTTGATTTAGAATTTTTTCCTTCTCTTTTTTTGTTTTTGCTTAAATTATACTAGCGTAATAGCTTCATTGTAATGGATCTTGAGTTTGAGGTTGGATACTATTTTTTTCACCCTTGGATAGAGAGGGGACAAACCATTGTATTGTTGTGGTGTACATGCATTTGGAATTATTAACCCATTCCTATTCCTATGATATTAATTTTGTTTTACATAGTGTGCCAAGACAGGTAGATGTGGGACAGGTTTGACCTTTGTGGTAGTGTGATTTGTTACTAAATTCAACCATATATTAATTAAATAAGTGAATAAATAACTATATAATATAGTAATTTGGTCCAATTTGTTCAAGATTCTTGCAACATATGTTGAAAGTTCAGAACAATTCTTTATTCAATCATCAATGTCTTCATCAATAAGATAGCTGCACTGCTCAAAATCATGTTAATTTCAGTAATTGAAAATAAACATGGTGAGAGAATTGATGCTGATTCTCCCGATGCTTATTTTTACTGATTTTCTTTCATGTTATCTTTGTCCACAAGTGAGGTTTGATCATGACAGCTTTGTAGTGTGTAGGTATAGACTTCATTTGAGTATTTTAATATTCATAGTAACAACTATACCAATTAATTTGATCACAAGTCCCACACAATAGTTGTTAGATCTAGCTGTCTAAGTGTTAGTTGCTTGGTTTTATTGCACAAAATTCTTTTAAAATTCTGAAAAAGAAAGGCATCAAAAGGTAGCTAGTATTGTGATGGTGATTGATTTGTTTAATGTTGGTTTAAATATGTTTTGTTTTCAATTTCACAAGAGGTTTTGGTTTTGAATCCTCATATAAAATTGTAACATTGTTAAAAATAATTTAAATCGATTATGATTAGCTATAGTTTAACTATGATAAAAAAATTCAGGTTCTATTTAATTATAGTTTTACTGTAATAAATAATATTTGAAGTCCAATTTAATCCCAGTTAAATTTTAAGCTCGATACAGTAGTACATTTTACATACTCTTAAAGATGACTCTGCCGTCTACTATAGATCTCATTAATTCGAGATATTAATCTTTGTAAATAGGTGTAAAGACGCAGATTACATCATGTTCATACTAAAAAAAATGTTTACTATGCAGAAAATGGGGATTTGAGAAGCTTGTGTATAGAGATGCAATCAGAGGCATTAGAAGAGATAGAAAATATGCTGTTCAACCAAGAAACCTATATGCAACTGGAGTCCACATGTCAGAAAATTTAGATGGAAACACAACTCACAAAACAGAAGGTAGGATCAAATATTTTCACTACCATGGAACCATAGCACAAAGGAGAGAAACATGCAAGTTACTAGTGAATTCTACAAAAATCACTTATGAAAAAACTCCTTATGTGTTGGATACTACAATGAGAGACATTGCTGCTGTTATCAAGAAATTTGAGCTTAAGATGATTGGATCAAGGTTGCAGAATACAAGACAATGATTTTTTTTTTTTTTTTACCTTTTTCTTTAAGGGCCTTAAATATAAAGTTATTTAATTTATCTTTTTATAGGATAGAAAATCATTTAAAGGTTCTTTCTTTTCTTTTCTATTATGTATTATAGTCACTTTGTATTTTTACTTTTCAATTTAGTATATGGATAATTCTTTGTGGTTCTAAGTTATTCTTTTTTATTTTATTTTTTTACTTTTTATTATATGATGTATTTTCTAAAATGATAAATAAGGATTAATTGTTTAACAATCTGTCGGTGTGATCCCCACTTTCTATACATCATATATTGATGGTTGCCAATGTGATATGTTGCTTTGTTTGTGTGCATCTTTTCTTTTAAATAGTGACATTATTAAATTTTTGTACTCTTTTGCTTTTTATTTTGGGATCCTTTGTTCTTCTATGAATTTTGATAAAAGCATCCTCTTTTTCTTTGTTTCTTTATTTTCTGATAATTTTCATGTTTCTTTTCTATTAATTTAACGATTAAAATTTTATTTTTCAAATTTTAACTCAAATAATAAAAATTAATATTGTTAGATTGACATCAATATTATAATTTGAATTCTAATTCTTACATTTGTGTGAGTTTTTAGTAGTTATAATCACTTTATTTATAACTTAAAAAAATAATTTTAATTTTTAAAATGGAATAAATAAAATATCGTAAATTCAAACTGGTATTTATGCTATCTAATATTTTTTATAAGTTTTATATTTTGTTTTTATTTTAAGAAAAATAGAATGAAAAAATATTATGTTGAAAGAGGTAATTGATGTAAGGGATAGCTTTAGGTAAAGTTAAAAGAAGGAACATGTGGGTGATATAAGTGCTCTTTCTAAATGCATGAAAGAAAAATTAGGTTGAAGGACTTATTGAATTAGTTTGATAACTACATTTTTGCTTAACATTATGATTATTTTTACAATTTAAGAGTATTGTCCTTTTTTGTGAATTTATCAAAATATTGGAATTTTTGGAAATAGTTGAGTTATGAGTATCCGATTTTTATTTAATGACTGTGATCAATTGACTTTAACAATATATTGTAAGGTAATAACAATTAAAAATTCACACATTATAAGTATTAATGTTTGAATTTTAATAATAACTTTTAATCTAACCATATCAATTTTAGTCACTTAAAATTTATGGACTATAATCATTTAACTTTATTGATTAATGTTGAGTAAATTATTATCGAAGCTATAAGGACATAGATACTTATAAAAAATTAGTCACATTCGTCGGCATCGGAATTTTATATTGAACAATGTTATTTCAACATTAAATTTTAGATACTATATTTGATACAATGTATTAATGTCTTTATATATCTCTTAAATTTTTAATCTCATGCATTTATACAATTTTTTTATTAATTACATTTATACAAATTTTAAAAATATACTAATACTCTTTTGAACGTTTGTTAAATGTCCAAATATGATTTATTTTTTTTATAAGCAACAATTGTATTGATCAAGAGTATTAGGGGTACTTGTTCAAATATAAAAAGGAAAGAGTAAGCTCACACAACACAAAAGGTTTGTCAATCAATTTGAAGGTGAGAAAATTATACAAGAAAGGAGATGAATTCGACGAACTTTTGCTTTTAAGATCAATAGCTTATGAATCTGACCAAGTTCAGATTTTTGGTTAGAGTAAGCAGCAACGAAATAATATAAAATGCAGAAATAATAAGTAAATCACACACATAAATTATCCTGGTTCTTCTATAACGAGAGTAGTCTAATCCTCTTGTCACACAAGAGCTTTTAACTATAATCAGAATATGATTACAACTTGTTTAGACATACCAGTCCAAGACTTATTTCTCAATCAAATCAAAAAGAGACTTTCTTCCCTAAACTTATAGTTCAGACTTCCTTGCTCAATCACACCTGAAAGAGACTTTCTTGCCTAAACTCGTAGTTTAAGACTTCCTTGCTCAATCACAATTATTTGAGACTTCTGCCTAAACTCATAGTTCATGACTTCCTTGCTTAATCACACCTGAAAGAGACTTCCTTACTCAAATACATTGTTTGAGACTTTTATAAATTCTAAACAAACTATTTATGATTATAATAAGATGTACCTGATATACAATCAGAGGTATAAATAATACAACACAAACAAAGACATTGTTACTTAAGATTTATAAGTTATACAAGTGTAAGAAACTCTCAAGACTATGTGCAACAACAACAACTATATACAAAAGCTTAGAGAGCGAAATAATTCTTGTTCTTGTTGGGATATCTTGTTGTATATTGGTGTAATTTCTTTTGAATCTTCAACTCCTTATATAGAGAGAATAAAAGAAACATTGGAAGCCTACTTGCACAAGTATCTTTGCTGAAGAAGCAGTTTCCAAGAGAGAGATGTTGGAGTAAATACGATTAGGATCTTCATCTTCTAAATAATCTCTTTATTCATTGTGTCTTTTCGTAAGTGATATGTGTAACACCCTTCTAAAATCCACGTAATTAACGAATAAATTAATTATAATTATACAACACAAATGTGTCACACTTCATAAAAACAACACACATATCTTGCTCCGTAATGCGGGTTACAAAAAAATATTTAACTTTTCAAACATACACATTCATGATGTTTACACGACATCAAATACTCATCTGAGGACACTCTAGTGGATTCACCATAAAGAAATTTAAATATAAAACAACAATATATTTTGAGTTTTAAACTCCAACATTTGATAACATTGATAAAAGTGTTTTCAACACTCAACTAAAAACATCCCAAAATATCTCAACAACTTCATTAGTATTTTCTTCTAAAATAAACAACATAATAATTCAGGAAAATCAAACGTCAACCTCGACTCAATGTTACATGAATCATAGTAGAATTCTACTACATAAGATGATACATTACAAATCAACTTTAGTGACTAACTTCCTCTTACATCTATGAAACCTACTCATGATTATCTTCATGTTACCCACGTAGAGGTAACATTCAAACATAAGGGGTGAGTAATCATAATTAATTATAAAGGACATAAGAAAATATAGATTGCAACATTAATATACAACCAATCAACAACGTCAACATATCATAAACAGACACCCCCAAACATCACAAATATTACTCATACAACTTTCATTACAAGAATCAACATATAGTCACATAACTTTTCATGGATCAACACACTACACAACACAAACAAGGCTATGCAATGCCACATACAATGCTATGCAACCAACACTGACTTAATGCATGTGATACCAAATTATGAACACACATGTTCATTTCGCTCCTAGTTCCACCACCATAGGATAAAGGATCCGCCACCGTAGGACCTAGTTCACTCTTGAATCAAAGTATAATAACAATCGTTACCACCACCACAACAGTGCTTCACTAATTCCTCGATATGGGAATTAACTACTCTCACTCGAATCACCACCATAGGATCGAGGGCACAACATAATTAAAACTAAAGTTCCAACAACTTGGTGTATGATTTACAACATGTAGAAACAACATCATCAACATATACATTACAACATTCAAGCAAAATTTTCATCAATTCACCACACAATAACATCATTTATTACACAACGATTCAATCACCATTCAATAATACATCAAATTATTACATAAATCAAGTAAAGCTTATCAATAATATGAACACATGTTTATTACTCTATTTTTTATCATTCATCATGAAAATACTTTAGAAAAAGGTTTAATCACAATAAAAAATGAATACATGTTGAAAAATAGCATTTTTGGTTAATTTTGGGTGCATGTCTCGACACATGCATGTTACAGGTCGACACATGTACTCTCATTTTAAAGTGTGTAGCGTCTATTTTCTTGTCTCGAAACACACGACTTTCATGTGTCGACACATGCGCTAATGTTTTCCAAAATAACTTTTTCTAAATGCTATCTATCGACACATAACTTGTTTAGGTCGACACATACTGCTTTTATTTTGTATAAAATTCAATTTTCAATCATTTAAACACCAATTTACATACCAGCAATGTGTTCCACAAAATCATATCACAATAATCCAATTTCCTACTATTTTAACACCCTAATTCCATCAATCATATCATGGGGTCATGAATTAACAATACATCACAACTATAACACCAAATTCATCATCTTTAATCACCAATTCATCTAATTCATATCAAATCCAAGCATTGTTCATGAAGAACATAAACTAACAAATCAACTTTAAGCAACAACATCATCAAAAGTCTCACAACACAATATGTGCACACAACACCAAGATCAAAGATTTCACAATATTCATCAATATTCATAACAAATCAATATTTCTCAAAAAGAACTAAAACCCTAATCTATCCTTCCCTCATATCAATCATAATTGAGAACCATTACCCACCCCTACCTTAGAATTTCTCTAAAATTATCTTATCACACTCCATGGATGGATGCTCTCATTTATTTCTGCTTGCCTTAGTCTCTTTTCTCATTTTCTTCCAAATTTCATATATAATACAAAATGATATATTTTTCTCAATTCTCCCTATTTCTATTAGAAATATTCCTCAATTATGCTTTCTCTCATTTAACCTCAACTTAACCTCATGCAATTACCTCAATGTCCTTAAAATCTATACACATTCTAAATTATTTTATTTTCTTTATTATTCTTGTTATTAACAACATAAAACTATTATTTAATTAATATAAGTTATTTTATAACTCAAGAACTTACACCCCCACCAGTATTCTAACAAACACAATAATTCACAAATACTCTTAAATAAATACATAAGCAATATAATTCTAAATTGAGGTGTTACAACTCTCTTCCTCTTAGAGAATTTTTGTACTCGACAATTACTTGAGGAAAATAGAGTCGGGTATGACTCCCTCATCTGGTCCTCATGCTCCTAAGTCATACTTTCACCAACTGGTCCTCCCCACACTACCTTCACCAAAGAAATCTCTTTACCCCATAATTGC